ACAATAAGGATAAGAGGCTTATGGAATTTTCCTGATGGGAGAGACTGACTGAGGGGGTCACTGGATCCTATTCTGATAGGCTGGCCATGCTCAGTACATCTTTAATCCAATTTTCTGTTGAAGGGTGGGGCTCTGTTCCCTCCCTGTTGTTCTATCTGAGACCAAACTATGGCAGAGGTAATGAAGATAAGGGTGACCTCCTTCTAAAGGTCCCATGCACATACTGCTGCACTCGGTGCCCCGACCCTGCAGCAGGCCACTGCTGACCCATGCCTCCACCGGAGAATCCTGGACCGTCACAGAGAGTCTGAGTCAGTCTCTTGTGGGGTCACTGCTTCTTTCTTCTGGGTCCTGGGCACACAAGGTTTTGTTTGTGCCCTCCAAGAGTCTGTTTCCCCAGGCCTGTGGAAGTTCTGTAATCAAATCCCACTGGCCTCCAAAGTCAAATTATCTGGGAGTACTCAGTCTGTTTGCCAAATCCCCAGGTTGGGAAATCTGTTGTGGCTCCTAGAACTTCCCTAACAGTGCGAGGATTTCTTTGGTATAATTGTTCTACAGTTTATGGGTCGTCTGCTCTGCAGCTGTATGGTGGGGTTAGGAGGTGGGGTGACCTCCTTCAAGAGGGCATATGCCACAGGCTGTGTGACCAGGTGGCTGTGCCCAGAGCCCCTGCGGCAGGCCACTGCTGACCCATACCTGCACAGAGACTCAGACACAGGTCCGGCTCAGTCTCTGTGGGGTCTCTGGGTCCTGGTGTGCACAAGGTTTTGTTTGAGCCCTCTGAGCATCTCTGGCAGGTATGGGATTTGTTTCTAAAGGCAATTTCGCCCCTCCTACCATCTTAATGGGGCTTCTCCTTTGCCCTTGGATGTGGGGTATCTTTCTTTGGTGGGATCCAACATTCTCCTGTCAACGGTTGTTCAGCAACGAGTTGTTATTTTGGAGTTCTCACAGAAGTTGAGTGCACACATCCTTCTACCTCACCATCTTGCCAGCACAAAACTTGTCTTTCCCATTCTATTGTTTTCCTCTATCATAGATTCTCTTTGCATTGATCACCAAGGAAGGCTTTCTTATCTCTCCTTGCTATTCTTTGGAACTCTGCATTCAAAAGGGTATATTGTTCCTTTTCTCCTTTGCCTTTCACGTCTCTTCTTTTCTCAGCTATTTGTGAGCCCTCCTCAGACAGCCATTTTGCCTTTTTGCATTTCTTTTTCTTGAGGATGGTCTTGACCACTGCCTCCTGTATGATGTCACGAACCTCCGTCCATAGTACTTTAGGCACTCTGTCTATCAGATCTAATCCCTTGAATCTATTTGTCCAACACACAGCTACATGTAAAATAGATAACTAACAAGGACCCACTGTGCAGCACAGGGAACTCTACTCAGCATTCTGTAATAACCCATATGAGAAAAGAAACTGAAGAAGACTGGATAAATGTAAATGTATAACTGAATCTCTTCACTGTACACTTGAAACTAATGCAACATTGTAAATCAGTTATACTCCAATAAAAATATTTAAAAGATCAATAAAGTACTTTTAAACCTTGAAAGTCTGAAAATTATATTAAATCTGTTCCTTAACTTTAGGTTAACTTGATGATAATCAAAAACATATAAGGTGTTACTAGATAATAATCCAGTAAAACAAGCTATAGAATAATGAAATACATTAAGAAAAGTAAGAATATTATTATTAACAGCAACTACGATTGTTGTACCAACTGCAGATCGAGTGTTTGACATCAGTGTCCCCTCTAATCTTTGTGCAGTCTGATGAAACAGTTACTATTACATTCATTCTTCAGATGAAGAAACTGAAGCTTAGATAAATAACGTATGTTCTGTGTGGGGCCACAGGTGGTTGGCAATGACACTAAGACTCAATCTCAAACTGCCTTGATTCCAGGGTCAAGTCCTTCTGCACCTCACAGCATTGTCCCTCTAATGTATAGAAGTATAAAGAACAGGAATATGCAAAATCATTGTTAAACTGTTTGTCTTTAAAAAAGGAGAAACAATATAAATGATAAGAGTCAGAGACGTGAAGTTTCTTGAACACACACTCATTCATCTGAAATGAGGTGTCAGTATGATTCCACTTATCATCCTTAAGGCTACTTCCCCAACTTTTACGCAAATGCTCATCATTCCTAGAGACAAAATAAATTTGCCTCTAGTAACTCCCATGTTATTCCAGAAAATTTTCTGGTAAAGTTTTAGTTGTTTTGACAGAAATGTGTTGATTCATATGTACCTGAGTTTCTCTGTAAGGGTAGAGATCTCTGCTATCCCCATTACATGTGAGTCTTGTGTCCCCTCAGTCATACTTGAGTTTAGTCTGGTCAACCAGTTGGCCCTCAGTAATTGGTCAACCAGTTGGTCAACCAGTAATTACCCTCTATCATAGTTTGATCCTACTATACATGAATGAGGAGTCTCTAATTTAAATACTTCAAGAGGAAACCAAGCATAGTTCAAGAGGGCAGACCTGCCTGAAGGCTTTGGAAAATAAAAAAGACTTTCAGTGAATATGTGTGTCCAGTTATTAGGCTGGACATAGATTCAGATGAGCAGGATTATACAAAGAAAACCCTAAAGATACCACCAGAATATTACTAGTGCTAATCAATGAATTGAGTAGAGTTGTAGGATACAAAATTAATACAAATCCCTTGTATTATACATAGAAGACCCTAAAGATGTCACCAGATGAGAAGTGAGGAATACCAACATTGTGTGTGGTTGTTAGCACCATCAAGAGATGCTAACCTTTAGTTGTACAACCCTTTTAAAGAAGTTATTCAGTCTCAACCACTTCTGTGGAATATACCCCCTTGAAATTCAAATAGTTTATATCTGGCTGGGCAGGTTAAACTAGATATAAAATTAAAATTCAATAGTGATGGTCAGACGTTTCAAAATCTTGGTCACTGACTATTGGTCATGGAAATCCGGTATCACATTAAGAGCTTTAGTCTAGGAAGCCTGAGAATGTAGGTTCATATTCTGACTCTATCTGTGAATCTGTTTATTTTAGATATAAGTGAATACACTAGCCTAGATTATTTTGAGACCTCTTTCAGTGTCTCAGATCCTTTTTTTCTTGCCCAAAGCCTAGATGACCTACTTTAAGAAAAAAATCATCTGCCTCCAGAATAGCCCCTCACCAGAATATCAGTTCCACAGAGGAAGGTGTCTGACTACTTTCCCTTGCCTTCATCACCTCCCTGGAATGACACCTTGCATAAAGTCATCCAAATTTCTGAACCTAAGACACTGCCGATTGAAAGTCACTACTGTTCTAAAAGAAAGAAAACTGCTCCCAGTGAATTATAAAATGCCATCGATTAAAGGATACTTTGTCATATTAGATATATTACAATGTGGGGGGAAATTCACCTTAGAATTAGTGAAAGTTTTTCATCTACTCCTGTTCTTGCATTCTCCTTTCCACCTTCTAAACAAACTATTTAAAAAAATACATTTAATTCTTATGGCTCTGTTCATCTCCCTTAGAAATATTTTCAGTGTTTTTTTTTTTTTTGGCTTTGTTTTTGTAGTAAAGGTCCCTTATGCTCAGTGTAGTGATGTTGGATTTGTGTTGACCTCATCTTATGGCCTGTGGCTGTCTCCTGTTCCTGGCTAGTTTTTAGGCAAATTTCTGGGAGCCCCTGCAGGATGGGCATCATGGGAATACAGATCTGATACCAACCAGTATGTGGCTAATTTTCCAACAGGCGGTCCTTTTTCCACTGACAACCCTGGGTGGATACCAGAGTTCTTGTAATTTCCTGAACCAACGGATTGAATAATGTCATCTCTACCTCTCTACTTAGCTCAGTCCAGGCTCCTGGGGTACCAGCCTGATATAGCACCCACTTCCTGCTCCCTCCCCACCATGAACCCCAGGAATGACTTCAGTGTCTTTCAAACCTAAGCCAGATTTAGCAAATGATTTACAAAAGCAGTAAATCCTTCCAAGTTCTTCCTTTTCTGTATCACACCACTCCCAGCCACAAGTCATTATGTCCATAAAATTCAAGTGGACATTTTTTACTCTTTTTCAGAATTATCAAATGTATTTTCCTGCTCTTGTATCTTGTTTTCTCTGGGTGTCATAGAATATCAAAATATCCTTTTATGAGTCACAGATCTTCCTGAGATGTTTGAGGCTTTTAATTTTTAGGGTTATTTTATATACTAGGATAGAAATAAGCATTGGCGTAAGAAAAGCTTGTAAGGGCTAAGCATGTAAAAACCATGCTAACAATGATTTACTGTGTAACACAAGAACAGTATTTTATATCTATAATGACCTGTAATGGAAAATAATCAGCATATATACATATATATATGTATACATGACTGAGTCACTTTGCTGAAACCTTAAATACAATGTTTTAAACCAACTATATTCAATAAAAAAGCCATGCTGGGTGCAGGAGAAATAAAATAAAAAAGCCATGCTCGGTGCAGGAGAAATAACATAAAAAAGCCATGCTCGGTGCAGGAGAAATAACATAAAAAAGCCATGCTCGGTGCAGGAGAAATAACATAAAAAAGCCATGCTCGGTGCAGGAGAAATAACATAAAAAAGCCATGCTGGGTGCAGGAGAAATAACATAAAAAAGCCATGCTCGGTGCAGGAGAAATAACATAAAAAAGCCATGCTCGGTGCAGGAGAAATAACATAAAAAAGCCATGCTCGGTGCAGGAGAAATAACATAAAAAAGCCATGCTCGGTGCAGGAGAAATAACATAAAAAAGCCATGCTGGGTGCAGGAGGAATAACAAGACATCCTCCTGGACCTTGACTAGGTAAGAGTTCAGTGAGGGTTTAATTTGAAAAAAGTTACTTTTTAAAACATTCCCGTTTTCATTTAGCTTCCTTCCCCCCTAAAAGTGCTTCTGTTCTACCCAAGATTACAGAGGAGGCCTGACCCCTTGGTGTTAAGTTAGCTTCATGAATTTTCCTTTTGTCTTTCCCACAGCTGAGCAAGAGGAGGAAGCTCACCCTGAATACAAATATGGAAATGAACTTTCTGCAGATGACTTGGGTCACAAGGAAGCTATTGCCAATAGTGTCAAGAAGGTCAGAGTCTTGGTGCTCTTTGTTTTCATGACTTCCAAGAGATGGCAGCTGGTATGCCATTTTAGAAATGTGAGCGCCACAAGAGAATAAGGTAGCCTGTAATTCCCCTTCTCAGTTGGGCAGCCAGAATCAATATCCTACCTCGAGGCATGCACAATACAATCACTCTTCGGTCATGCCTAGTGTTGACCCCTACCTCTTTGGCCCGTGTCCTTCAAATGTTATTTATTTCCTTATGACACGTGAGCAGGAAGACCGCAACAGCATCCCAACAGCAAGGTGATGCTGTTCAGATCATTGAGAGAATGACCCTGATCATCCCAGCAAACCCTCATTAGAAGATCAGTGCTACCCACTGGAGGTCTCATCTCCCTCCTAACATAGAATAAGCACCAGTTTATTAATTATCTTCATGTATATGTGTGTGTGTGTGTGTGTTATGGAAACATTTATGGTCTGCTATCTTAGCACCTTTCAAGTATGCATGTGTACTAAGTCACTTCCAACTCCTTGCAACCCCGATGGACTTTAGTCCACCAGGCTCCTCTGTTGATGGATTCTCCAGGCAAGAATATGGAGTGGATTGCCATTTCCTCCTTCAGGGGATCTTCCTGACCCAGGGATCGAACCTGTGTCTGTCTCTTTTTTTTTTTTTTCTCATTTATTTTTATTAGGTGGAGGCTAATTACTTTACAATGTTGTGGTGGGTTTTGTCATACATTGACCTGAATCAGCCATGGAGTTACATGTGTTCCCCATCCCGGTCCCCCCTCCCACCTCCCTCTCCACCTGATCCCTCTGGGTCTTCCCAGTGCACCAGGCCAAAAAGCAAAAATAACCAAATGGGACCTAATGAAACTTCAAAGCTTTTGCACAGCAAAGGAAACTATAAGCAAGGTGAAAAAACCTGTGTCTCTTATGTCTCCTGTATTGTCAGGCAGATTCACCACTTACACCACCTGGGATGGAATATAGTGTTGTTAACTCTCGTCACCATGCTGTCCATGACATCCCCAGGGCTTACTCATCTTATAACTGGAAGTTCGTACCCTTTGACAGCTCATTCCCCAACCCCCACTGGGGCCTGGCAAAGTGGTTGATTTTTAATACTAGTGAGTGATAGAGTAAGAAGACGCAGAATGTCCACTGGATCGCTAGCCTGGGAGTCATAGTGACCTTGAAAAGAGGAGTTTCGGGGCAGTTAGGGACCCCTTGGACAGACACATCTGAATGAGGAGAAGCAATACTTTTGAGCAGTTTTGCTGTGAAGGGGAGCTGGTGGTTAAAGGGAACCCAGGAGTCCAGAGAGAGTTAATTTTAGGATAAATAAATCCAGGGTGATGACTGAATCCTTTGACATGGTCTTTGATGGGAGCAATAGTACTTAATCATTAAAGACAATGGATGAAGATGCAGGTAGGTGTATACAGTAGGTGCTAAGAAAACGGGAGCAAATTTATCTGCTGAGCAAAACCAGGAGAATACTACCATTACGCTTACCTTTTCTGATATAGAGGATTGCAGCTACTTTCAGATTATTAGATGCCTACTAAAACTCACTATCCTGCCTTTATCAGCACCCAGACATAAGTGTTGACTTGCTCAAGAGTGATTCTTTACACACCAGAGGAGGTGGTCGCATCGATTATTTCCCAAGCCCCATCACTAGACCACTAACTAAATTACCCTAAGAAAGCACTGAAATAGGTGAAGACTATCAGCCAAAATGGAGATAAGCATTAAGATGAGCTTTTCTGGTGTGGAAGAGAGTTACACCATGATATCCTGTCAGTTCTCACTGTATCTGTGGCTTTATGTTACCAGTAATGTCCTATCTTAACAGATAAATAGAACGGCAGGCATACAGAGAACTATCTAACGTATTTGAATATCCACAGGTGTGGGGCTAGTAAACTTGAAGTTTCACCCTTTAGAGAAGTAAATTATTTTCTTTCTCTAATTTAGGCTTCAGATGACCTTGAACATGAAAACAGCAAAAAGGTAACAGAACAATTCCATTGTGCATTTTGTTTTCATTATGAGAAACTATGTGGTCATTCAATATTGAATAGGTTTTACTAAGTGCTGTTTATTCTGTCTTCTCCCACCCACTGCCCATGAAATATCAGACTATTTATAGGGATAATATGTACATGCTCAGTGCATCTACTTGTAAGAGTCTTCAAAAGAAAAAATTAACCACGTGACGAAATGATTATATTCTGATATAATCACAAAACCTAGGGCAGACAAATAAGATGATTTTTCTAAAAATAAGTGTTTAGGCATTTAGGTATTTTCTTAGTTAGCATTTGAGATTTCATTCCTAGACAATGGACAAAGGCATGTATAATTCTTCTACTGTATGTTTATTGATAATTAGTAATGCCAGTACTATAAGCTGGGTACCAGGCTGATTCCCTGGATGACAACCTCATTACTGTCAGTCATCATGTGTAGCAAGGATTACAGTCTGACCCACTAACTGCATGAGAAGGCTGAGGCCTTAAAGATGAACATAACTTGTCACAGCCGCTTAACAAATATCAATGATCAAAGATCAGCTTATCTTTGTTGACCCCAATATTGTAAGAAATTCTAGTAGAAGAGAATTTCACAAATATCTTAGGAGACGACTGGGATCAGACTTAACCAGAATTATTCCAAACTTTAGACAGTAAGAATATTGGGTTTTCCTTCAAATAAGATAGGACCCCATAGACAAGAAGATAACCCTTTCTGAAGCCCTGATGTGGGAATCAAATGATAAAGTAAATTTCTGCCTCTGGCTGCCAACAGTTTCAAAACTGCAACACGCCGTGTACTTTTTATTAAAAGGACCACTTTGATCATGAGCTGTGAAGAGGATATAACAAACTAAAAATATTACTTTACTTCCCTTATGATAAAGTCACCATTAAGTAATGTCAAATAAAACTCCTAGAATGGATACAATGTGAAATTGACTAATAGCCTTTCAGAACACCAATATAGTTGGAACAAAGACCTTTCCGTTTTCCTATCATATGAATTTCCTGACCTATGGTCATTTTTATATTCAGATTAAATGATTATATGCTCCTAGTCTGGGAATGAACTTTCAAATTTTAACTGGGGACATTTGAAAACATGATTTTTAAAAATCTCAACAAGTTACATTATTTGGTTATTTATTGGCTTTTATTGGTGAGATCAGTTTGATGGTCTAAAATATTATCAGGCAAACAAACTGGCCTGGCCATTTTTTTCAACCAATGAATTGACTGATACAAGTCAACAGTTTATTCATCCTTGAGTATTGATCTCAACTAAATATTGATCACTTCTGAAGGTGTTATTTTTGCTGTTGTTGGTTGTGTTGCTTTTGTCCTGATTTACAAGGAAACAAACTAAAATAATGTGTTTCTCTTTGCCTGTATGCAAAGTAATACAATTTTAATAGGTGCTGTGTAGTGGATTATCACATTAGTTTAAGAATAAGCTTTTTTTTAAAATACCACAAACCATTTATGTATGTGACTTGGTTTCCAAAAGTGTTAAGTAGGTATGGTCCCCAGACCAGCCACTTGGGAGCTAGTTAGAAATGCCAGTTCTCAGGTTTCACAGCAGACTCCCTTTTTCAGAAACTCTGAGGGCGAGGCCCTGGAATCTGATTTAACAAGCTTATCTGTACACTAAAATTGAAGGATCTCTGTTTTTTAATTTATTTCACAACTTGTGAAATTATGAATTATAATACCTTTTATACATATTCCATAGCATTGCTCTGAACTTCAATATAGTTTCTAGAATAAAGTCCTTTGAAAATCTAAAAAAATGTCCCCAAAGTGTAAGGTAAGCTTCATATTTTACTATTATCTCTATTTGTATTATTTGGAGCCACAATAGACATTAACTTTTTTTTTTTTTGACCACGCCTCAAGGCATGTGAATTCTTAGTTCCCTGACCAAGGATGGAACCCATGATCCTTGTGTTAGGAGCATGGAGTCACTGGACCGTCAGGGAAGTCCTGACATTAACTTTTAAAATTATCCTATGTTGGGACTTCCCCAGCAGTCCAGTGGTTAAGACCCCACACTTCCCAAGTACCGAGTGTGGGTTCGATCCCCGGTCAGGGAGCTAAGATGCCACATGCCTTGTGGCCAAAATACCAAAACATAAAACAGAGGCAATATTGTAACAAATTCGTTAAAGACTTTAAAAATGGCCCACATCAAGAAAATCTTTAAATAAATTAAAAGCTCTTTTTAAAAATTATGTTTTATTTAACATAATTGAGGAAGAGAAAAATCTTTTATCTTTGAATCTGTGTGCAGATTGTCTCTAGTAAGGAAGTTTGTAGGGGCTTCCCAGGTGGCTCAGTGGTAAAGAATCCATCTGCCCGTGCAGAAAATCCAGGAGACTCGGATTTTATCCCTGGGTCAGGAGAATCCCCTGGAGGAGGATTTGGTAACCCACTCCAGTATTCTGGCTTGGAGAATGCCGTAGGCAGAGGAGCCTGGCAAGCTACAGTCCACGGGATCACAGTCAGGCATGACTGAGCAACTGAGCGCACACTCACGCAAGGCAGTTTGTGGCCTAAATCTGAGAGTCCTGACATCACTGACGTGTGTATTCCCTTTGTTGTGCTCGTAGGGCCTGGTTACCGTAGAAGATGAGCAGGCATGGATGGCATCTTATAAATATGTGGGTGCTACCACTAATATCCATCCGTATTTGTCCACAATGATCAACTATGCACAGCCTGTAAAGTTTCAAGGTTTCCATGTGGCTGAAGGTAACACCAAAGGTTAAATGCTGTTGCCTTTTCTGTCTGCTTTTCTTTCATCGTGCTGTGATCTGACTTGCTGCCATTCCCTTTCCTGGGCACGTGGACTGTTGCATTTCACCTTATTTTTGTTGCACAGACCACACAGGTCCTTGGCTCGTGGGGGCCTTGTGTTGTCATTTCCAGCATCGTCCACAAGGTGGCTCTGAGAGACTGGATTTGGGAGCACTCCAAGCACAGAACCTCTTGCATTAGATACACTTCGTAAGACCCGTTTGAGTCAAAACCTGGTCTCTTAAAAACATAGCAAGAGATATTTTAAAACTTCGTATAATTATTTCTGGACTGGAGAAGAGATAGTCCTCACTGAAAATACATATCCCAGGAGTGGCTGTGAATGTCAGTTGCTATACACATAACTGACTCAAAATTTAATTCATCACACTTTTCTTAAGTCAGCCATCTCCATCATCAGAACATTAATGAAAGCAGGCGCTACTGATATCATGATGGAGCATCTGCCTCCAAAGCCTCATGATTCGAAGTGTAATTATATTTATCACTTGTCTTTTGTGAGTCTGATGGCAGAGTTTCTAAGTGCATCTTTGCTTTTCTTTACAGAACGCAATATTCATTATAACATGTCTTCTTTTAATGAGTCGGTCGGTCTAGGCTACTTGAAGACACACGCCATTGAATTTGTGAAGTATCCTTCTGTATTAAGTGGACTAAATGGTTGGTGAACTTTGAGTTTGGCAGGAATCTCTAAAACAGAAAGATGGCTAATATATTATTGTGGTTGTAGAGCTAGTAATATAAAGTATGTGAAAGACCGCAGCAGCAGGGAAAACCTGCCCAAATGCGAATTGTTTTTATAATCCACACCATGAACTATGGTTTTTCTCCTTAGTGTCCTTTATACATGTGAAATCCGTTCTCTATTGTCACATGTTTTTGTCAGTGTTGATCTCAATCTTCATTGCTTTAGCTCTTTGTTATTTATTTATCACTCCTGGGATCCTCTTTTCCATTTTCCTTAATACATTACACAGTTATAACAAACGGCAAATGAGTCGCATTTACCCCAAGGGAGGCCGAGTCGATTCCAGTAATTACATGCCTCAGATTTTCTGGAACGCTGGCTGCCAGATGGTTTCGCTGAACTATCAAACCCCAGGTAGGAACTGATGTCCAGTGACCTCGAATTCCATGAGAATATTTTGACAGGACGGTGCCAAGAGTTGCTGTCAGTTGACTGTGGGCATTTTTCAAAGGAAGCAGACATATGGCGAAACAACATGTTGTTGGATGTATGGAATGGTGAGAAATTGAAAGCGCAAAGCAGAGCAATAAAACAATGGTAGAAGATAATAGAGTTTGATTTCAATTGAATTTCCTTTTGAAAATGCCGTGACTAATCTGCTAAACATTGTCCCTTTTTCCAAAACATGTCTAGTTTTTCTTCTTTTTGGATCAAACTTATCTTCTTGTCCAGAGACAGAATGAAATGAGAAGAATTGGAGGATCTTTGTACAGTAACTGACTCATTTCTCCTTGGGAAAGTAGCCTTCCCACTGTTGGCATTCAGCAGATCAGCAACATAGCAGAATCTCACCATAAAGATGGAGAGTATTATGGAGTAGATTCTGCTAAAATGGTGTTTAAGGAGTCCTATACTCTTAGAGGTACTAATGTATAACTTACTCCTCCGAAGTGTACTCTGGCCAGGTTTCAATATATAATAATTTTTTTTTTTCCTGCATGGAGAGCAGTCAATTTTGATGAAAACATAAATAAAATCTTTAAAGTTTTCAAAATTTGCTTAAGAGCCTAGGATCACAATATGAAGATGAGAGACAGAAAAAAATAGTTTCTAGTTACTCATGTGAAACAGGTGAGAAATATGCCACAAAATCTATTCACCGCAGCATGGTCCTTTTTCTAAAAAAATTAAGTTATTTTCATTGGAGGCTAATTACTTTACAATATTGTGGTGGTTTTTGTCATGCATTGACATGAAAGTACATGGACGTACGTGTGTCCCCATCCTGAACCCCCCTCCCACCTCCCCATCCCATCCCTCTGGGTCGTCCCAGTGCACCGGCTTCAGGGCACTCAAAGCACGGTCCTTTAAAATGGTTGGGGGGAAAAATCCCTTTTGTTCTGTTCTTTTCCTCTATAAGGGTATCCCCCATGTTTCCCAGTTTAGGACTTTTTTTCTTTTTTTTTTTTCCAAGCCAATCCACCATACTTTGTAAATCTGAATACACCTTGCTCCCTGTGGTCTGGACTGACTGAAAGGTCCTGTAACTTGCGTCCCTTTGGCACGGATGTGGCCTGGCTGTGTTTTCCACCCTCGTGACCAGGAACTGAAGTCAGATTTCTGCTCAGCACCCCTCTTGCTGCTCACTGTGCTAAACTGTGACCAGGAATCGTCATGATCCTAGAGTTTTTCTAATAGAAACGAAAAGGATTAAAAGGCACTGCTGATTTTACTTATTTAAAAAGATGTCAAGTTGTATTCTTTGCTGTCAGTGAAACCATTATGTAGATTAAATGATCCAAAGGCAGTTTATTCTCTAGGCCAAGTTGCATTTTATTCTATGATGTAAGGTTTAATCATAGTACTTTGAGAAGAAAAAAAAACACTCATCAGGAGGCCCCCCCTTTTTTTTTGCTGATGAAAAGAAAGAAGATTTTGTTTGCCTGCAAGAAAAAGTCATAACCATGCTCTGCCAGTGTAGACCCCACTAGAATAATTCTTTTTAAGTCACACATTTTTTTATATGATACTTACCTAGTTTCTTTTTGATTCGTTTTAATTGAGTTATACGTTCGTACAACCCTATTGGATTTCTCCAGCATACCCTCCCTCTGGGTCATAAGGCATGTCTTCTCTACCTATATATACATCAGCTTAGACATCTGTACTCTCAACACTAATTCAACAGTCCTATGACTCATATATTGAATCCAAATTTGGAAGCAATGCCAACATGATCTCTATGAATGCACATTTTTTGTTGATTTTAAACTCAAGGTCATTTAAACATGGAAAAGAGAGTTGTATGCCTCTCTGTAAACAGATCCAGAAGTACCTTGTAGTGTTAAAAAAGACCTATCAGCTTGGGATCAGTATCTGCTTTCCATTATTTAAAATCACCCCATCAAAATCTTCTTTGTCCAGGAAGATGAAGTGCTAAATTATTTTTGTCTCTTGACAGATTTAGCGATGCAATTGAATCAGGGGAAATTTGAGTATAATGGATCATGCGGGTAAGTAATGTGATTTAAACTGTTGTCACCGTGTTCCACACTCCACACTACAGCTGTAATGAAACCGTGTCATTTTAAATTAGAGGTTGGTGAATTTAAGTGAGGTTTGAGGGATGAGACAGAAACAAATGAAATCCCCAGGTAAGTTACATCAGCAATATACATTCTTCATCAACCACGTTTCATTAAGCAGATTAAAAAAAAAAAATTTAACCACTAGGTAAGCAGTTTATTATACACCAGAATTTAATGCTCTCACTTTAAATTCAATAGTGGAGGCCTTTATAACTAGAACAGATAATGATCCCTGCTCATTTGGACATCAGCAAGAGGGACAAAGATAGTAAATATGTGTATCTTACACAGGACAGATAAAGGAATGAAGTTGATTTAGTATGTAATGAAGTCCTCAATGTTAAGTGGAATTTATTTCAGCTAGGAAGACAGTTGTGTCATCTATTAATTTTTTTCTTGTCTTGTAAATAGTAGTTACCAAAAAATAATGCTATGAGTGTTGCTCAAGGTACTTAAATAGTGCTCCCTAAAATCTGTGAACCAAGTAGTGAAATAGGAAATGTTAATTTCACTGAAATGCTGGAAAGTTAAATAAAAAAATGAAATTGAAGAAAGTTCTATGGAAGAACTTTCTTAGTTCTTGTATAGGCATTCTATACAAGTTCTATACAAGACAAAAAGTGTGTGGCCATTTTTTTTTTTCTCCATGCAGATTTCCCCAAGTGGTACTGCAGGTAAATGATCTCAAACCATTACCCAAAGCCCTCTAGACTAATTGAGCAGAATTTCTTCTCACCACACTACTGTCAGGATGCTCTTGGCCTCCCTGGTTGGATACGTAATGTCCCATGTTGGATACTAAAAACAGCCCATCACAATAAAATTTTCAGCACTTGTGGATTCAGAATGCCTACTCCCACCTCTTCCTACACCCACAGGTGACAACCCTGTTACCCAAGTCACCCACCTTCAGCATACAGGGTATTTGCCTCTGCTGTGTGTTTTGAAGGAAATGCAAATTGTATACCTTAAACTAATGAAGTGTTATATTTCATTTAGGTTGGTGCAAAAGTAATTGAAGTTTTGCATTGCTGAACTTTGCCGTTTGATACTGGATACATTCTTAAGTAAATCCGGTTATGTTATACATCATTAATGCACATTTCTCACATTATGTTTTTTTCCTAATGACTTATTACTTGCTGTTTATTTTATTTTAGACTATAGAAATGATGTTAGACAAAAAGCAAATTTGAGTGACTTTTTTATTCAAGTTCAAAATGTGTTGGAAAACAGTGAAGACAACTCGCAACATCAACAATGCATTTGGCCCAGGAACTGCTAACGAACAAGGATGGTGGTCGTGGTTCAGAAGTTTTGCAACGGAGACGAGAGCAATGAGCAGCATCGTGGCTGGCCATCAGAAGTTGCCAGCGACCAGCTCAGAGCAATCATCAAAGCGGATCCTCTTGCAACTACACAAGAAGTTGGCAGAAGGAAACTCGTTGTCGACCATTCTGTGGCCATCTGACATTTGAAGCAAATTGGAAAGGTGATAGAGCTCGATCAGTGGGTACCTCAGGAGCTAACTTAAAGTTGAAAAAGATCGTTGCTTTGAAGTGTTGTCTTCTCTTACTGTATACAATCAGTATACATGCGAACTCTCAATCAGATTGTGACATGCAATGAGAAGTGGATTTTATGTGACAACTGCCGACAGCCAGCTCAGTGGCTGGACTGAGAGAAGCCCAGAAGCACTTCCCAAAGCCACACGTGCACCAAAAAAAGACCATGGTCACTGTTTGGTGGTCTGCTCCCCGTCTGATCCACTACAGCTTTCTGAATCCCTGCGAAACCATTACATCTGAGAAGTATGCTCAGCAAATCGATGAGATGCACTGAAAACTGCAATGTCTGCAGCCAGGCCTGGTCATTAGAAAGGCCTCAGTTCTTCTCCATGGCAACGCCCGACTGCACGTCTCACAACCAATGCTTCAAAAGTTGAACGAATTGGGCTACGAAGTTTTGCCTCATCCACCATATGCATTTGACCTCTACCAACTACCACTTCTTCAAGCATCTGAACAACTTTTGGCAGGGAAAATCCTTCCACAACCAGCAGGAGGCAGAAAACGCTTTCTAAGACTTCGTCAAATCCTGAAACATGATTTTTATGCTACAGGAATGAACAAACTTGTTTCTCATTGGCAAAAATATGTTGATTATAATGGTTCCTACTTTGATTAATAAAGATGTGTTTGAGTCACGTTACAATGATTTAAAATTCACGGTCCAAAACCGTAATTACTTTTGTACCAACCTACTGTCTCTCAATAAAACAGGGGAGAAAAAAAAAAATTAAAATTATAGTTCCAAAGAAAACAAGCCAATACACATTTAGAGTATTTTTAAGCTGCCTTGTTATTTAGTGCCAAACATTGATAACCAGGAGACTGTGTACATAAATTGATGGGTGGGCCCCCAGTGGGGGCTGAGGCCCCGGGGGCAGCCGTGGTGGAGGGCATAAGAGCCCTTGGCTCTAGCCCGACCCGGGTCTTCCACAGGCTGATGTTACCCTGGGCAGGTAGACGAGGCCCTGAATCTCAATTTCCTGCTGATAACATGAAGCCAGTTCAGTGAGTTTGAACCGACTGTATGTATTTGATGTCCTTTACGAGCTGCAAATTTCTGTGGAAAAGTGAGGTTAAAGAGAAGCTTCAGCCCATATGGCTGATGACAGGCAGAGATCACAGAGCCTCTTGATCTTGTTGAAAGAGTCTTTTCACAGCGGTCCTGTGGGGAGCCTGGGGGGCGAGGTGGGGTGGGCAGAGCGGTCCTGTGGTCCACACCGGCTGTGACCCTCCCACAGCCTTCACCTGGCTCAGGACAGGCTTTTCACCCTCCTTAGGAGTCCAGTGGCTCCTCCTGCCCGGATACGGGGTGGGCATCGTTTCTATGGAAGAGGGGCCCCAGTGTTACTGAACCAAACTTGTCCACCTGTCCACACTCAGCAAAGTCTGTCAGTGGTGGCTGTGCTGAAGGAACTAGCAGTGTTTGTTGTAAGGCCCCAGGCAAGAGAACAGGTGACTCCTGTTCTAAGCCCCCAGACTTCCTGCAGAATTTCAGCAAAGCATTGTTAAAAGCCAGGTGAAGCGGGTGGGATCTGTTTTATCACAGTTCATATGCTCAGCGTCTCACCTTCGGCACTGTTTACTATAAAATCCATTCATGAACAAGGATGGTGCTATGTTAGCCTGGTTTTTCCAGTGTTCATGTACAGACGTGAGAGCTGGACCATAAAGAAGGCTGAATGCTGAAGAATTGATGTTTCTGAACTGTGGTGCTGGAAAAAACTCTTGAGAGGCCCTTGGACTACAAGGAAATCAAACCAGTCCGTCCTAAAGGAAACCAATCCTGAATATTCATTAGAAGGACTGATGTTGAAGCTGAAGCTCCAATACTGTGGCCACCTGATGTGAAGAACCGACTCATTAGAAAAGACCCTGATCCTGGGAAAGATTGAGGGCAGGAGGAGAAGGGGAAGACAGGATGAGATGATTGGATGGCATCACCGACTCAATGGACATGGGTTTGAGCAAGCTCCAAGAGATGGTGATGGCCAGGGAGCCCTGGTGTGCAGCAGTCCATGGGGTCACAAAGAGTCGGACACAACTGAGCGACCGAGCAACACTGTTAGCCTGGATTCTGTGCTTGTGTCTTTGAGGTAACGTGACCAAAAGCTTAAGTCCAGCCAGAGGGACTGAAAAATCTGACCGCTCCCTGGGGCTTCAGGACTTCAGGAGGCATGAACAATAAATCTCCTGTCCCCTGCCCCTCCCCTTTCCTCCACACCCAGCCTGGAGGCAGACAATACTTGTAGAAACCCCTGAATCTCACAACAGTAACCAAACATCAGAAACTTACTTGGGAATCCTTGTCTGGCCTGTGGGCAGTTTGTTTAGGAGGCCACACCACTGCATCCTGTAAGTGTGATTTTTACCAGGAAGTGAGCAGTAGTTTGTTACAGACTCATTTTTAAAGATGGAAAAGCAGGAAGTACTTCTACACTTTATAATAAAGCAAAATAAAGCAAACTAATTTCTCAAGCCTTTCCAGGCATGTGGAGGAAACCAGACAGTTGCTATCAAAATACTATGATATTTTATGATCAAAGGTACACACTTTTTAAATGACTTTGTCAAGTTAGAATGAATCTAAAGATCCATGGCAACTTACAGTTAATCAGCAGCCATTTTGCTTGCTTGCTGGTAAATAAAACGAGGGCATGTGATAGCATCTCACATGTGATGAAGCAGGATGAACTTTCTTGTTCCACCATCCTCTGATTCTGTAACTCCAGTCTGTCCACCTGGCTGAAAGCCCTTCTCTCCGGCCCTTGCCTCCAAGGCCTTTGAAGTCCACAGAGAATTCTTTTTTTTTTTCCCACTGATAGATTATTTTATTTATTTATTTTTTATTATTATTATTTTTTCCATTTATTTTTATTAGTTGGAGGCTAATTACTTTACAATATTGTAGTGGTTTTTGCCATACATTGACATGAATCAGCCATGGATTTACATGTATTCCCCATCCTGATCCCCCCTCCCACCTCCCTCTCCATCCCATCCCTCTGGGTCTTCCCAGTGCACCAGCTCTGAGCACTTGTCTCATGCATCCAACCTGGCCTGGTGATGTTTTTCACCCTTGATAATATACATGTTTCAATGTAGTTCTCTCAAAACATCCCACCCTCACCTTCTCCCACAAAGTCCAAAAGTCTGTTCTGTACATCTGTGTCTCTTTTTCTGTTTTGCATATAGGGTTATCATTACCATCTTTCTAAATTCCATATATATGCATTAGTATACTGTATTGGTCTTTATCTTTCTGGCTTACTTCACTCTGTATAATGGGCTCCAGTTTCATCCATCTCATTAGAACTGATTCAAATGAATTCTTTTTAATGGCTGAGTAATATTCCA